GCTTGGTTGTTCTTTTTTTTTTTTTTTTTGAGATATTTTTGTTACAGGGTGTGCATGCTCTCCAAAGAGACAGAGAAACAGTGAGAAATCACCCCCCTAGGGGGGATGGCCACGGCGCAATCCCTTCTCCTCCATTCTCCTCTCAGGATTTTGGGTGGGTACGCATGCACACATGCCAGGCATGAGTTTCAAGCTTCTGGGTCAGGACTCGAACTGCGGTTGGACACATGGGAGTCCAGTGCCTTAACCAGTACACCACCCACTGGCCCCAAGTGACGCTTATTTATAAAACAAGTGCCAAGTGTTGTAGGGGCTATTGCTGTGTCCATAGAACGAGAGATAGGCAACTCTGAGCCTCAGTTTCCCCATCTGTACAGTGAAGCCGTGTTCTCCATGGTTCGAAGAACAGGGTTCATGTTGAAAAGTTGAAAACATTCCTGTGATTGCTCACAGGTACAGGACCCTGTGCCTCTGTGAGCATCTGTGTGATAACACGCCTGCCTTCTGATAAGCCCGGCAGAGACCACAGAGCATGGCACCCTCCCTGTCCACCCTTGCATTTTATAACTTGAGAAACCAGGATCAAGAGAAGAGGTTCTGGACCAGCAGTTAGCATAATGGTTATGTCGCTGGACTCCCACGTAGTCAACCACAGTTCAAGTCCCGGATCCGGTGGCTTAAACTCACACCGGGCGCATGTGCGTGCGTGCCCAAAATCCCAAGAGGAGAATAGAGGAGAAGGGATTGCAGCGTGGCCATCCCCCCTGGGGGGTGATTTCTCGCTTTCTGTCTCTCTGTCTCTCTCTGTCTGTCTGGCGAGCGCACACGCCCTATAGCGAAAATCTTTCCAAAAAAAAAGAGAGAAGAGGTTTGACTTGCCCAAGGCCAGGGAGTGGGGCCTGGGGTCTGGCTACTGAGGGGCGGAGCTGCAGAGCCTCAGCCCCAGGGTGTGGAGGCAGCCTGGGCGGATAAGCAGGACCTGCCTTGGTAGGGTTTTGCCATTGCTGTACCTGAAAGCAGTCAGGTGCATTTCAGAGCATAACCATCTCCCACCTCTCCCCTCTCTCCACAGTTTCTTGGGGTCACTGAGCTCTCGGCATACTGTGAAGGCTACTTTCTCAAAAACATGATGGTCCTCATTGAAAACGAAGCGTTCAAGCAGCTCCTGTATGACAAAAATGGTGAAGGGACGGGCCAGGATGTGCTCCAGGACTTACAGAGGACGTTGGCCATCAGGATTCAGTCCATCCACTTGTCGTCTTCCAAAGGCTCCATTGTATGAAACGCATCATGCAGCGAATGCGTCTGGGAACTTGCAGTCTCCAGCTGCGTTGGCGTCACCCAAACACGTACAAATTCCACCTAGTGAATGTTTCTGACGAGGCCAAGGAGCTGCCTCTACTGCCTCAGTTTCTGGTGAACAGGCAAATTCGGCTCCCGTGTTCCTGTTGAAACACAAAGGACATTCCGCTGGTCTGCGATCAGACCACAGCTGGGTGCGGAGCGTGAACATCAGCGTGGGGCGACCAAGCTAACCCACCTGGAAACACTCCTGGGGTGTGGAACCAACACCCATTGCCAGATGGATCAAGGCCTTGGTGGGGAGGGGGGTCATTCCAGTTCCAGGGTGACAGAGAACTTAATGTCCCATCCCTAAAGAACATTATACTACACATCTGGGACCTTGGGAGCTGCCACATGGCAAGAGTCACCCATGGTAGCAAATTGGCGAGGCCGTGGCCCATCACGAGGAGACCATTTGGCAAATTTTTAGGGGTGGGAACTTTTTAAAATGTTCATAAAAGTTTAAAAAAAAAAAAAAAACAGGGCAGTCTTGTAGTTTCAAATATATTTCTAAAAGCTTAACAGTTGGTTTTCAACTGAAATGTGTTTAGGGATCTGTGTTTTGAGGTTTTCTTTTTTTTTCCTTTTTCTTTTGTTTTTTTAAACATTATGTCACAGGTCCACACTGTGTACACATGCATCTGATGAGCTATCGCTGATCCCTGTACGAGGTGAAGTCATCTCGCCCTAGCGGCCATGGTTACACAAAGGAGGTGCACTGCCAATAATTAACTGTCTCAGTAATCGAAAACAACCTGCATGCTAGTCGTGGTTTCGGGGTGAGACGAGAACACCCCCACATAACCCAACATGCATTTGCATGGGCCTGAACCTGTGAAACGTTACATTTGTGCTTCATTTTTGCCAAGGTAAAAACGTCCCATCGCTTCTTGCTAGAAGTCCATTTGGTGAAACGGACATACCCCTTCCTTTTCCTAAGTACGAATGATTCCGGGATGCTTTTGCAGAAATATATTCATAGATGATACCGAATAGGGGGGTGGAGGGAGCACGTCCGAGAATTTACTATTAATCTCAGAGTTTTCTCGTATTCTCAGAAGATGTTAATAGTTTGTTACTAGCCAGAGAGTATGACTATGTTAGATTATTTTTAAAGACGAACTATGTATGATAGGCTGGATTCTTTCTGTATCCCGAGAGTGTACAGTATAGAGAGTTTATATTGACAGGGTTCCGTTTGCTCTGCCATATATTATAAGCAGAAGTGATGAGCGAAGTGCCACGGTCTTCCAGATACGTTCTTCAGCTGCTGCCCTCTCTCGTCCCTTCATTTGAAACCTAGGTACATCCAGTAAAGACTAGGAGAATGCCTTGTACCCTTCTGGATGGCAGAGCTATGTTGATTAACCCATGTCCTAGCATGCCTTCAGGATGTCGTGCCAGAACCTAGATCCTAAAGGAGCTGCCGCCCTCATTCCCTGAGCCATCGTCCAGAGGACCGTGTCCTGTCCTGTACCGTGGTCGTGGCCTGCAGAGTACCCAAGCCACGTCTGTCTAGGCATCGGCTCCTCCGTGACGCTGATGCACTGGCCCCCAGCCCCCACCATCAGATGAGGAAGGAAAAATAAAACTGCCTGTGGAGAAGCCCCCGCTGCAGATCCACGGTGTGTGCGTGGGGACTGCCGCCTGCCTCTGCCCTCCTGCGATGTGCGGAGCCACTGTGTGGGCGTTCCCTACCCTCGTGGCCTGCCCTGTGACTGTCCAGCTCAGGGCCTCCGGGCATTGGTTTGTACAGTGGCAGCTCCCTGCAGGGGCTTCTGTTATAGTTCGGTGTGCTTTCTCTGTCATTAAAAGAAATGATTTTCCCAAGCAGTGCATTGTTTCTACCTGTGAGTGCGTCCTTTATCCAGCAGTTGGAGCCCGAGACTTCACTCAGATGAGGGATTGGACAGTGGGGCCCTTCAGAAAAAGTCAAGGGAAATGAAAAAACTTGATAAAAAAAAAAAAAAAAAAAGCGCGGGCCTGGGTCAGCCTCATAGTGCAGTGGTTCCATGCTGTGCATTGGGAGCTAGGTCCCACACAGCTGACCACGGTTCGAGTCCCTGCCCTGATGGCTTGAAAGACACACACGTGTGACTGTCCGAAATCCTAATGGGAAGGGGGAATGGAGGAGAGGGGATTGCAGTGTAGTCATGCCCCATGGGCGGGGTGCTTTCTCTATCTCCCTCTCTTCTGCCAAGCAAGGCAGCTGAGCCTGATGCTGGTGGTGGGCAGGGGTCTGCCCGAGTTCTAGTTCCCTGGGCTGATACACACCTCTGGGTGATGCCCACTGCCGTTTGCTGTCTGTAGTGAACATTCTGCAGGGACTGGAGTTCTGGCTCTCTGTCATGTCAGAGTGACACTTTCGGGGGTGGGAAGACGGAGGCAGCCAAATTATCTGCATGTGCTGGGTCCGCACAAGGGCCAGCATGAGTTGATGCGAGTGGGTGGCGGCTGTATTCTGGGAGAGGGCTGCAAGTCACTGAGGGGCATGCAGCTGTCTCCTTGGGGGTCGTCATCAGGTCAAACTGAACCCCCAGCTGACCCGCTCTGGCTCCTGCCCTAACCTGACCCACCCAGACCTGCGTGGAGGTAAGTCTCCCTGGTTAATGCACAGAGGCCCACAGAAGCTAGAGAGAGGCCCAACCAGCCCTGGGAGACCTGGCCAGGTAGGCCTGGGAAAAGGTCAACATCAGGCCAGCAGGTGGCGTGGAGGTTAGGGGGCTGGATCCTACATGACCGACTATGTAGTTTGAGTCCCAGACCCAGCGGCTGAAAATCTTGCTGGGCGCATGGCCAGAACCCCAAGAAGAGAATAAAAGAGAAAGGGTTGCAGCATGGCCTTCACCCCCTGGTCTCCTGGGAGGTGACTTCTCACTTTCTCTCTGGTGAGCACATGCACCCTAAAGCAAGACAGCAAACAAACAGAAAATCTGACATCACTACTGCTTCCCAAGAACGACTACCCACCCCTGGGTTAGCAGTTGGGATCTGTTTCTTCTTTAAGAAGCTACCAAAGTGGGACCAGCAGTTAGCGTAATGGCTATGTCACTGGACTCCCATGGAGTCGACTGCGGTTCGCGTCCCGGACCCAGTGACTTAAACTCACGCCGGGCGCGTGTGTGTGCATGTCCAAGATCCCGAGAGGAGAATGGAGGAGAAGGGATTGTGGCGTGGCCATCCCCCCTGGGGGGTGATTTCTCGCTTTCTGTCTCTGTCTCTCTCTGTCTGGCGAGTGCACATGCCCTATAGCGAAAACCTCTCCAAAAAAAAAAGAAGCTACCAAAGCAACCAAGTGCCAAGGGCTGAACTCTGAGTCAGGCCAGGAGAACAGAAGGTCGAGGTATTTTGTGCAACTCCCTCTGTGTAGCCTCGGGGTGAGTAAACCACTCGATTTGTTCATTTAGAAAGACGCGCACTACCAGGTTTGCCTTCTGCTTGTCCGACAGGCGGCTCTGCCATCCTGGCTTCGGCTAGGCCTTAGATGGGCCCTTTGTATCCCAGGGGAACTAAGGCAAGGGGGAGACCTGCCTACTGCCACAGCACCCCCCCTTCCATTTGCATGGGGCCCCTGGAAGGTGTGTGTCCTTGTAGCAGCCAAGAAAACACAGAGTGCCCCCAACCACCCCCATGCCCACCCCTCCGCTCAGGGGGCCACTCCTGTTCGTCACACCCGAAAGTGGAGATCAGGATGTGAGCTCCCATCCCAGAGGGGCCCAAACAGGAAACAGGAAGTGCAGGCCCACCTCAGGGCCCTCCGAGAGCTCCACTCCTGATATGCTGTGATTCTGCTTTCCTTCTGTGTTCTGTGATTCTGTTTTTTGAATCTCACATTGTTTTTGCTTTTAAAGCCCAAGGCAAAAAAAATGTTACTCCAGCTGGGTATTGTCTTACCAAGACATGTTTATCACACCGCCTTTTACACGCCTCAGGCTGTGTGCAGATAAAGGGTCTTTTGAGAAGATCTCCCATCTCGCCAGGCCTGGGTTTTCTGTCTCTAGAATTCAGTGCTCACCTTTCTCCACACCCCACCTTGCATCTGTCAGCTCAAGTCACAGGTGGACGGTCACAGGAGTTCTCATGCCCTCGAGCATCCTTTTTTTTTCAAAAAAAAACTATTTTATTGAACTTTATTTTTTATCCATTCATTTATTTTAATTTGACCAGAGAGGGACAGAGTGAGAAAGAGAGAGAGAGAGGAAAAGTGAGAAAGCAAGCTGCTGGGTCCGAGACTCCGATGGTGTTTAGTCATGTGGGAGTCCGGCGCTCCCAACAACCACACCACCTACTGGCCCCAAGCATCTATCTCTCTTCAAAAATGTATCTGCGGGACCAGATATCTCCTGGACATGGCGGCTTGCTTTCTCACTTTCCTCTCTCTTTCTCTCTCTCTGGTCAAATTAAAATGAAGGAATTAATTAATTAATTAATTAATTTTTAAAATGATTTGCTTATTTCTTCCATGAACGAGAGAGACAGACGGAGATGAAAGCTCCCTCAACAGAGTCTCAATGCCACAATCCACCCTCAGCTTCAGCCAACCCAGATAATGAGCACATACCTAGGGAGGTCTCCAAATACAAAACCAGAACCCTCCCCTTGGGTCAGCCTCACAGAGCATAGGTTTTACCCTGCACCACCACTGGGCTCCACATCTGATCATTTCTAACTCCTTCTCTGACCGTCCCCCGCACAGACACCTTCCGAGACTACCAGTCTGTTCCCTGGGTTTTTCCACTAGAGCGTTCCATTCAGGGAGACTCTCAGTGAGCACCTTCTATGCCACCCAGTGCAGATCTGAAATGCGCACTCCAGCCAGATTCAGATGTTGCACAAGTTACTTTATCGAGGGTTCATTTTCCACCTTTGAAAACCTGAGTTGAACCACAACTAGTTAATAGGGTTGTTAGGAGGAGGAAACATTATATAATGGGTCCCACAAAAAAGTAGTAGTCAAGAAAAGGTATTTCCAAACCTCTAAGATAGCAAAGAGGAAACACTGACAATTCATGCAAGGAGACAGAAGGAAGAAGAATGATTTGGGCCCTTCATTTCTTGAACTTTGTACTCCAGCAAAGTCCGTGGTGGTTTGTGATTCTCTAAGGTTTTGCTACTTACTCTAAGGGCTAAGGGGAAAGTCCCTCCAAAGAGAGCTCTTTTGCAAGTTAGTTCCTGGTAGAGAGCTTCACACAGTTAGCCATCCATCCAGAACGTTCATGTCAACAGAAGCTCAGTTCACAGGCTCCCTCTTATATCAACACAACATCCTAAATACCAGGGTGGTAGGGATTAGCTCTTCCAAGCTCCTCGTCTACTCAGGAACGTGAGGTTCACAGGTGTGGCTCTAATGACGTGAGACTCCCAACAGTGTGTGTCTAGGGTCCAAGGTTTCAAAATGGCCGAAGTCCAGACCCAGGAAAAACAACTTCCAGTCCAGGGCTCTATGGGAAGAGAGAAGGTAGTCCCAAACCCCTAATGAAACAAACTGCTAGCTCTCAGCTCCAGAAAAGCCTGGGATCTCTGCCCCCAGCAGCCAGCAGCTAACCCCATAAGTCCTTTGCTACCCCTGGACCCTGTGGACACTCACCCATGACCCTCCACTGGGAAACCGCTGAGGAGCTTCACGTCAACTCCGTTCCGCCCATCCTGGCCAGTACTTTGAATAAAGCAGCACAAGCCTTCGGACAGGGGCATCGCGGAAGCTGGTGTGATGCCTATTTTTTCACCCTTTAAAAATAACCCAGCAGATTTTGAACTTCCTGCTTGGTAGGAAAAAGAAAATAGAACTCATACTCAGCAATCACACTGCACTTAAGTCCCCATTACTGATGAGGCAGTCAGATAACGCGTGCCCTGCAAAAGGACACATCTCCCAGTTTAGCTCCGAATGTGAAAAGACAATCTGTCCGCGTGAATAGGCAATTAAAAGAGATGCCCTGATGTCACCAAGACGTTCTTTGGATGTTGCTTTTCAGAGTTAACCTTCAGATGAGTTCTGAATTTTAATGCCATCTCCAACCTCAGGAACGAAGAGCTGCATAAAGAGGGGACTGGTTGGTCTATTAGAGGGGCTCTGTGCCAGGGACAGATTGCACCCCTGGTCCTGTTTCTGCCATCTCCTACTTAGGGGACCTCAGCCAGGCCTCTTTGCCTCTTCTCCATTGTGAGGGTCCTTCTTAGTAGCTGATGTTCTGTGGCCTAGCCTGGGACATGTCACACACCCCCTCCCATATGCATATATTAGATCCACATGGTAACACCATGTAGTGTGGGAGAACATTCTGGATTGTACCTGGAAGGAATTAGAACAAAGGAATTCAGTGTATGAAGTAAAACAGATTCTAGGGGGCTAGCAGGTGGCGTGGTGGTTAAGAGCACTGGACTCCCACATGGCTGACCATGGTTCGAGTCCTGGATCTGGTGGATTGCTTCCTTGCTTTCCCTCTCTCTCACTCTGTCCCTATTTGGTCAAATTAAAAGAAAATAAATAAAGTTAAATAAAATAATTCTTTAAAAAATATATGTTGGGTACATGTACATGTGTGCCTAAAATCCAGAAAGAAGAAATGGAGAAGAGATTGTGGCATGACCATCCCCTTTGGGGAGTGAGGTGGTTGGGTTTCTTACTCTCCCTACCCCTGGTGAGCACCTGTACCCTCCACCAAAATTTAAAAAATAAATAAATAAATAAATAAATAATAAAAACCTATTTCCAAAGGCCACTTACTGTATGGTTCTATTTATGTAACATTCTCAAAATGACAGAACTGTAGAGTTGGAAAGCCAAAGAGTGGCTATCAGGGCTTAGGGTTGGGGTGCACAGAGGAAGA